GCATGATTTTTTTTATATATTTTTTCAGTATGAATGTTTTAGCATGCGCAGAACCGCACAAAAAATCGGTTCGAAACAAAACAAAAAATCTTAAAAAATTAACAACCTTTTCTTAATAAAATTTTTAAACCCAACTGCAATGAAGGTACATTGTACTCATCATCAACTGAAAATATAATGAATAATTCAAATTAAATAAAATATTACAAAATAAGTACCCAAAGTATGTAGAATGTAATTACACCAAATTATTGATATGTTGTTTTTTTTTACATTTGTACTAAAATACTTTGCTTTTTTCTTTCTTTGAAAAATTGTTGCCTTTTCCGCGGACTACTTTAAAGAAAGAAGTGTATTTATCGTAAAAGCATGGTTTTAAGAAAAAAGTAAAGTGGTAGTATCTGAATTTATTAATATTCACCTACCCGTTTCATCCCGTATAGCCCAGACCAACAGATCCACACAGGCAGCATTAGCCATTACGTTCACCTTGTATTTATTCACAACTGGTATGCCATTCTCCTCACGTTTCTCCTTCTCCTGATCTTGCTGCTTGTTTGCCAGCTCTGTTTGGCCATTTAAGAACAGACGCTTCACAAATTCTTGAACATCTTTGGTGAACGGTGTAGGCAAGTCAATTTGATGCTGTAGCAGCTCACGTAGCAAAGTCACCAGCACAAGATTGAGTGTCTCTGAGAAGCTTTTATAGCAATAACCCTTGATTTGATGTAAAGCAAAGATATCGCTTGCTTGCTCGTCTAAATGCTCGAGAGTCTCTTTAGTTAGCAATTTTTTGGCCACTGCGAAGATGGTCTGCAAGTGTTGTATAGGGAAAGGTGGCACCGTTAGTGTTTTTTTAGTTTTCGTTGGTGTTTCACAGAGGCGCATGTTAGGAAATTGATTGAAACTAGAGCCGGTCTTGGTGAAAAAGTGTGTACGCGGATCATAGGGTACCGAGAAATATGTATGCAATTGTGGTCGTTGCTTATTCAAGCCGTTTATCATTTGCATTTGACGCATGCGCATCTCGTTCGAGTCTTGGCTCAGACTACCGGACATGGAGCGCGGTACGATAGGTCGAAATTGCGAGAAGCACGCAATGCGCTCGCTGGAGCTAAAGCTGCCTCCATCGCGGACATTTTGTTTGACGACTGGCATTTCTTCTCGTGGGAATATACGACATAGCAATTGTGGGTCTTGGCTGGCATATCGGCCCATTGAACGCGCCAAACCAAAAAGTAATGGTACAGTGGCCTTGCACAGTATAATGGGTGGTGGCGCTGAGCTGCTGTCCTTGCTGGATTTAATGATGTTTGCCAAAGCACTCAGGGTCTCGACTTGATTTAGGATGATCTCTTCTCGTAGGTCTGGACATTTCGAGGCGATGTCCGACAGCAAAGTATTCAAGCAGAAACTGAACTTTTCGGCGGATGGTATGCCTGTTGATGGCGTACAGTTTAGTTAAAACAGAATAAGCAAATTAAATAATTACCACATACGGTCGATTTTGCTCCATTTTGCATCATCCACCCAAACAGCTTTGGGCAAGCACTTTGCCAGCCGCAACAGATACGGTACGATGCGCTCCTCATGCTGGCAGCGACTTTCCAAAAAATAAATACCCAACGCTATTACTGCGTCCTGTGCGCGTGCATCAAGGCAAAAAACGCCTGCAGCATTTTCTTGTGGGCAATAGCGGAAGAGTGATTGCACCTGTAATTATAGACATGCGTCAAGGGTGAAAAGTCGATTTTGCTCTTTCGAGTTGACCGTGAAAATCAATTGCTACCTTTTCCCATGGTGTTGGCTCTATGCGTGCCAAAACGCGTGCCAGGCTTTGTACGGTGCGCTGATAAGAAAATACGTCCGTCATCACAACGCGCCCAAAACGAACAATTTCTAATTAAATTTTCACAATTCCACAATTTTAACTTTTCACTGGCAAAAAAAGTCTCTCCAAATGTTGTTACATTACTCACTGGCACGGTGACCAGAATTTACGATAGCGTATAATTCAGAATATCATGTGCACATAAAATTTAAAAAGTAAGGGGCGATTGGCGATTTTTGCTAATGCTAATATTTAATCTAAATCTAAATACCTCAGGTAACAAAGCATGAATTTTAACTTATATATTTTGAAATTTTTATTATCTTTGGTAACCCCAAGGAACGAACGCGAAGAAAACATGATAAAAATATGAAAATAAGTAAATGCGAATGAGGATAAAAACGTCAAAACAGCGATTGATAACGATTGTCACATGCCTCATAAGGGTTAATTCGCAACGAATCTCCAAAACATAATAAAAGCGTTCCTTAACTCGGAAATGACAGCAAAAATGAGAGAGCAACAGTCAGTGAGAGCGACTCTCATCAGTCCGAAGTAGTCAGATTTAGTCAGAAGAATTTTTTCTGGCAAAATCCTGAAAAGTGTCAAACTCAACTGAATTTAAATTAACGGAAATTAAAGAATACGCAAAAAGTGAGAATAATCTAAAAAGTAAAAGAAATGAATTGAAATTGGAAGGAGGCAAAAAATAATTGATATAGCAAGTGTTTATTGTGCTTGTGCTTGTGTGAATGTGTTTTGTACATACATTTCCATTCTTATTTGACGTTAGTTTTGTTGTTGCCATTCTTTGGACTAAAAATTTGGTTTTTTGCGTTCCTTTACTTTTCCTGTTACTCTCTTTTAGTGAGCGCATTTTGCTTACGCTCTGGCATTTTGACACTTTTCAGATTTTAGTCCAAAAAGATAAGGAATGAACCTAATGTCAAAATTTCCCAAATTTCGAAATTGGAATGCACTACCGGAATTTATTGGAATGATCTACCGGAAGTAAAGGGTGATAGACACGGGTTCTCACTTGGTACTTCCGGTAGTGCATTTGGTCCCAATCCGATATTTGGTTCCATATAATGCACAGGGTGCATCAATGGAAATATTTTCAGTAAACAAAAAATTACAACTGCACGCGATTTTTTAGTAACTTGAAATTTTCCCACTAAAATTAAAAAAGTTTTTTTCAAGAGATTTTATTTAAAATGTTTTCAGTTTAGGTAAAAAAAGGTGAATATAATGCAAACATATTTTGAGAAACAGTAGAAAAACGAAATAATGGCATTTTTTTGTATAAAAATGTATTTTTTTCGTAAAAAAATACGTAATTAACTATATTAACAAATATGTTTATTGGAAAGACCATAAAAAAACCTTTAATTTGGCGTGTAATTTTGTATAGTTAGGTTTAAGTACAACTGCCTGCAGTGCAATAAAACAAATGTATTAATATTATATGTTCTCAGCAAAAGGTGTTCAGCCCCTTTTATTTGGCAACACAGAAAGAAGAATTCTACGTAGTGAGGGTTATAATCCCTAAGCGCGGCCAAAGTCCGCCTACGCAGAAAGGAGCTCTCTGCAAAAGGTGTTCAGCCCCTTTTATTTGGCAACACAGAAAGAAGAATTCTACGTAGTGAGGGTTATAATCCCTAAGCGCGGCCAAAGTCCGCCTACGCAGAAAGGAGCTCTCTGCAAAAGGTGTTCAGCCCCTTTTATTTGGCAACACAGAAAGAAGAATTCTACGTAGTGAGGGTTGTAATCCCTAAGTGCGGCCGAAGGCCGCCAACGCAGAAAGGAATTCTACGCAAAAATACTGTGGATAGCGTAGCTTGATTAATTATCCATTTAATTCTACAACTCAATCTTATAACAAATAAGGTGATTAAAAAAATGGTTTGTATATATTTCTTTAGTATTTTTTTAATTTTAATTCACTTTTTGTAAAAACTAAAGAGAGTAAGATTTTCTATGGCGGCTCTTTTCCTTTTTCATATAAAACTTTATTTTTAACCGACTTCCAAAAAAGGAGGAGGTTATCAGTTCGTCGGAATCTGTATGTTACCGCATAACTTTGGACCACGTCAACCGATTTCGATGCATCGATTTTTTGCATCGGAAAGGTAGTGTCTCAGAGGTGGTCCCATACTAATCTGGTTAAGATCCGATCAGTGAATCATGAGATATATAAATATATATATTTTTTTATATGAGAGTTGAAGTCGGTTTTTTTTTGCTAAAAATTACTTGTTCTCATGAAGGAACGACACGTACTTTTTTGGATAAACCTTGTAAAACTGTCAGAAAGCAAAATTGCTCTCAGAGAAAGAGAGAAAAACCAAAAAGTACGGGAAAGCTTTTCGGGTAAAATTGGTAAAACTGTGAAATACATCGTGGATGCCATTTTTTGTTTACATATCATTTTTTTATAATTTGGCGATTTGCTTAATTATACGCAAATACGCAAGCAAATTAACAAAAATACTTTCCAAACTTGATATTTCTTCGCTACTACACCCTTTACTGTGTGAAAATGCAGATGTACTTTTCTTTTTGGTTGTTGAACTTTCAATTGACATTTCATCAGATTTTCCAAGCAAAAATTCTTCAGATTAAAATCTTGTAGCTGCTGACAAAGAGAGGACCGATTTTACTCTCCCATCTTTTCCCCTACTTTGCCAGAGAACCGAGTACGGGAACGCCTTCTGGTACATTCTCTGGCTCAGTTATGTATACTTTTTCCTGCACATCTTCACTTTAGCAACGTTTCTCCGAAATAAGGTTTGCGCAATTTTATTGTGTAGTACCTTCCACAATATTGGCTCGGGTTGCGCAATGATTTTGTGTGGTTTAAGGGCCCTATAACGGATCTTTGAAAGTAATTTTTTGGAACCTCGGATCTAGTAAAGTTGATGCAGCTATTAAAAAAGAATATTCAATGGATGGAATTTAGACCACTGCAGAATTAATCGGTTATTGAAACAAAAAACTACCAAAGAACGTAAATCTATAAGAGGAGACTACACGTTATAATTGTAGCGAGTGTGAACATCAGGAGCGTGCCTTCTTCGCTTTTCATCCAATCGTAAAACGTATTTGAGCAAAAGAGAAAGCACGCTCCTGATGTTTCCACTCGTTAAAATTATAACGTGTTGTCTCGTCTTATAAATTTACGTTCTTTGAAAATACGAAACAATTAAATCGTAAATCGGACAAAAATAATCGTTTAATTTAATAAAATGATTAACCGCTGCAATCCCTAATCTAGAAACTATCGTTTAAAAAACAGAATTAAAATAGTACATGTCCGTCAATATTAAATACAACTTCATTTAGATTGCGCTGAAGATTTGCAAAAGGGGGCAAACGAAGATCTCAAGCCACAATCTGGAATACATATATACATAAGTTCCAAAGTAGCCTCACAACACTGAAAACAGAAATAATGCCCGGGCACTCATGTACCTTGTGTAAAACTACTTGGAATAATAAACTTTCAATGTTTACTCCTCCAATTGATGAGCATATGAGAAGCGAGTGGGAAACTGCATGTGGGGTGAAACTTTCACAACACTCTAGAATATGCTCCATGCACTTCTACGCTAAGGACTTCATTTCGGCAAAATCGAAGCGTACAAATTTGCACCCGGAAGCAGTCCCATCACTGAATCTGAATTGCACCTCCGTTGAACGTTTGAAATCTTCCGACAAGTAAGCAAACTATAGTTGCGTTCCAGATGCATCACGATTTGCAGGTTTTTATAGGAAGTTGTTCCAGGTGACCACCTTCCATAAGGTTTATTAATCGTGAATATCGTGAAGCATCTGGAACGCAACTAATACCAGTATATAATTGGAAAATTAGTTTAAACATATTGCTTAGTTACAAAAAAAACCGCGCCACCATGGAACAATTGCTCTTTTTCGTGAATTACGCCCGCAAGCATCCGGAAATGTTGACATCTAAATTTGGAAGTGTGAGCGATTTATGGGAAACATTGGCGTTACAATTAAATTCAATGGATGGCGCAAAACGGACGGCTGAGAAATGGAAGGAAGTTAGTAAAATAGGTACATATATAAAAACTGAATGCAATAACGAAATAACTTTCAGACCATGAGTACGTGGAGAAGCCAATTGAAATGTCGAGCACGGCGTGGACGAAGTAGTGGCGTACCAGAGTATGATCAGTTCGCTTTTGCAGACGAAGAAGATGCTAGCCAAACGCCTAAACAATTTAAAGAAACACCAGGAAATGAGAGTGAGACTGAGGTACATAGAAAGATAAGTGGGAGTGTCTACTTACTCGCGCCACGGTAAAAATTACGCCGAAAGAAGTTCTGTCCCATTTCTCCGGCAACACAGAAAGGAGAATTCTGAGTGGTAAGGGTTATAATCCCTAAGCGCGGCCGAAGGCCGCCTACCCAGAAAGAAGTTCTGTCTCACTTCTCCGGCAACACAGAAAGGAGAATTGTGAGTAGTAAGGGTTATAATCCCTAAGCGCGACCGAAGGCCGCCTACGCATAAAGAAGAGCTGCCCCACTTCTCCGGCAACACATAATACACGTAAAAATTACCGTAGATCTACGGTAAAAGTTATCGTGGCGCGTGTGTGTAGACACTGCCAATATAAATACATGTGCATTTTTTTTTTATATAACCAAGAAAACCTGAATTTTTTAAGATCATTACGGAACCTGAAATAAAGATAGAAATTAAATCAGAAATAGACGACGAAAACTCAACCAACATGAATGAGGCTCGCTCATTTACTCCAGAAGAGAATTCCGAAACAGAAGTAAGTTAAAAATTCCCATAAGAGTATTTGTTATGTAAATTAGCTCGATTCACTACAATTAAGGTCACACTAGATTTTGAAGAAGAGCTTTATATAAAAACTGAGGGCGACGAAAATGCAACCATTCTGCAAAATACATCCACTGAATTGCTTGATTTGCCAACATTGGGCTTTTCGGTAAAATTTTCCATTTGAAATTTTATAGTTCTAGCATATATTCAGAACAATTTTCTGCAATATGTATTTAGCAAACTTCGCGGTCAGACCATTTTGTTATTTCTCGCTCAACAACTACAAATACCTCAATGAAATTCACAGAGGCCAGCAATAACGGAAGTATCCAACTTATTTCCCGCGCCTCAATTGCGGATGAATCCAAGAACTCGTCGGAAGAAGCGGCTATAAATAGATGCGACGGTATTCTTTCACATCCCATAGAAGTAATGGAGGAGCCTTCCAATAAGAACAGGGACACATCTCTTGTTTGTCACCCAACAACAGCATCCATGGACAAGGCTTCACAAGGCTTGGATGAGATGAGCATACAAAAAAAAATTGTCCCTCCAGGTTCACATCCACCTGCGGGCAATAGGTTAAAAGTTATCCAATTGGATAATGGACTATTAAAAATAATTGGAGCACCACGAGAAAAAACTACATTGGATACTCGACGGATACAAATAGTTGGAGCACCACAAGAAAAAACTACATTGGACAGCGGACGGAGACAAATAATTGGTACTCCTCCGTTAGCAACTACTCTAGATACCACTAGGGTACAAATTATTGGTGAGCCTCGACTAACCACTCCACTGGATACACCTACGAAAGCTTCTGAACTAGTTGAAGAGGAAATTTGTTGCACAGAAGATTCTTTGCAACCTGCATCATCTTTACATACTCCACGTGTACCTCAAGACCCGCCAAATGTATCGAGGAAGCGCAAGATGACATGTCTTAACGAAATGTATGAAACAGTTCTCGCAAGCATGAAGAAACGAGATGAGCGGGAAGAGCAAATGTTATCCGTTTTGCAGGGATTGACTGTTGCGGTAACCAGATTGGCGGATAACGTAAAAAGATGGGAGGAGGTGTTATCATCGTGTTCAAGCGATTAGTAGAAAAAAGGTAATTTATTTTGTAATGTAATCCTTTCATATAATTAGAAAAAAAACATAGACTTAAAAAATAATAATAATAGGACTATTACTTTACGCTGGCAAAGGCTTTAGAAATTTCCAACGTCGCGAAGTTTTGAGCTTTAAAACATTGGGTCATATGCAATTAAATTAAACTGTTCCTTTTACTTTAAATTTCATACCTTTCATTTAAATTTATATGAACAAATTAAGTAAAAGGTCTGAAATTTTAAGAAAAAGCATTTGCTTAGGTTTTATGCATACGGCCTACTAATTTTTAATTTTTAAGAACTTTCGAGGTTTTCGAATTTTTGGAAATAGCCTAAGAGATTTTTCCATTATATCTAGGTCCGAATAATACGATTTCTAACATGTGTGCCATCTACGAATTTGGGTTCATTCTTCATTGCCGCTCTATCCTTCACATTCGCCGTTGTTTCTTCTACTAATGTATCGAGCTCAATTTTGTCCACCTCCGTGCCACCACCATTCTTCAAGAGCATATTATGCAATATGGCACATGCATATATAATATTAGCCGCGCGCTCGTGTGCATAATATAGCTTGCGCTTCTTTGATAGACATTTGAATCGAGTCCTTAACAGACCGAAGGCAAGCTTTATTGAATTATGAGCACTTCTATGCATCTCATTATATACAATATCCTTGCGATTCTTAGCTCTCACTACAGGAGTGAGCAGCCACGGCTCTAGTGGATATTTAATATCTCCGATTAATAGAGCATTGGTTGAATATTCGTTGTTATGGGACATCAAAAATTGACGTGTCGGCGAATTCCGCCAAATAGTTGATGTAGATACCGAACCAGGGCCTCTGGCATTTAATGAGGTGAACAATAAGCGATAATCACAGATCTGTGGAATAAACGCAATACTTACTAGACATTAATTAAAGAATCAATGGCTGGGTTTGCTGATGAACTTACTCCTTCAACTTTAATGGTGCATTCACCAAGTTCATTTACATACACTGATGCACCATTTTTTTCGGTTGGCATTAATATATTAATATGCGATGTTCCAATGGTGCCCACGATGTTATCTAAGCCACATTTCTCTTTGAATCTGAAGTGAAATGTGATGGTTTATTAGAACTCATCTTTGACTCTTCCGAGACTCACCTCTTCTTCACCACTAGTTGTTGCTCTTCGTTGTTGGGGAAGCTTATTTCGTCACCTTTGTGCTTAACTAATAGTTCTGTTATACTCGATAAGGCACGCGACACAGTTGGCTGACTAATGTCCAACACATTACCCGCCATACGATTTTGAAAAATTCCAGTAGCATAAAAATTGAGCGCAGCTAAAAACCTCAAAGCAAGTGGCAGAGTAGTACCCTGATCGTCGAACGGCAGCAAATCTTCAATTAATGAGCGACACATCGATTTCGGTAGGAGAAACTGTTTGGTGAAATCTTCTTGTGGCAAGTCAAATGGGTCTGTGTGGTCGCGGAGGCGTTTCATGCGATTGCTATTGAAGGCATCATGCCACTTGGCGATCAAGAGCAGTAGAAATTCCTCTTCCATTTCCAGATTATAAAGTTTTTTTCAAGGTTCTTTTTTTTTTTTTGAGATTTGAGTAGGTTGGCAGGTTTCCCCAACGCCAGGTTATCCCTCTGCTTTAATAGATCTGTAGCAATGTTACACGAGAGTGCATCTAAGCACAATGTGTGTATACTGCGATTTGGTCGGAGATGTGTCCTTTAAAACGGTAGCAGATTTCTGCAATTGAATGTGTTATCGTTTGAATAATGATGGTTCCACAGTGAAGACGAAAGTGTGAGTTGGTTTATGCGGTTGAATGGCAGGTAATCAAACGTAGTAGATGATAACGATGGTTATGTGGGAGTAGACTTGATGATGTTGACGTTGCGTTTGTATGATCGGTATATATAAGTATGATGGAATTTCGAAAGCAGGGTTTGTTGGTGTGACAGTTGGGTTGTGTTAGGGATGGGGAGGGTTTTGAGTGAGGTGGACGGTATTGACACCTGTGGAGCTATGTATGCTTCAAAATTTAGCTTCAGCTTTTGTCAGAAAATTCGCCAGTTGAGTGATTTTACGATAGTCTAAGCCGCGAAAAATCTCTGTAAAATCTGTGCAGTTGTGGACGACTTCGAAGCCCTCCCGAACATTTGCAAGTAAGCTGCAGTGGAACGTCTGATGTACATAATTATCAGTAGCGCCACAGCTGCAAGTATTGGAGCTTATTACATTTATGCGATGCAGATATTCATTATCATAGGTGTAGCCGGTTAGTATTCTATTTAAAATTTTAATTCCTTTTGGAATTAGTTTGAATTTGTAGAACCAAGTCTTTTGTGGCTTCTGTGTAAAAATTTGCGCGAATAGGTTGTGTTTGGTGTGGGAGAAGTTGATAAAATCGTTATACCATCGGTTATGGATATGATTGCGGATGTTTCTTAGAGCCTCATCTATGGTAAACTTCACATTTAAATTATTATCACAGTTAACGGCTGTTTTTGCCAGAGAATCAGCCTTTTCATTGCCTGGAATGCCAACATGACTGGGCGTCCAGATGACGGTAACATTAAAAAAATCAGAATTTTGGATTAATTTGTGTATTTCAAAGATATAGTAGTTCTGAGTGTTGTTTTTTGCCAGTAATTTGCAGGCGATAAGGCTGTCGGTAAAAATTACGATCTTATTATAGTCTGATTCTCTGGCCAGTTGAAGCGCGTTGAGAATGGCTATGGTTTCGCCATAGGTAGATGAGGCACTAAAATTGATTTTAAAAGTATGTTCTTCTTTGTTAGTGTAGTTGTAGACTCCACACCCAGTGGTCGTAGGGCCTACAGAAGCGTCAGTGAAAAAGATGCAGAAATTAGAGTTTCTGTAGTCATTTACCATCGCCGCGTAAGTCGATTTTATCTCGTCAGTAGTTACATTAGTTTTTTTTCCAGTTAGCGTTCTGGTGATAATATGTAGATTAGGGGCGGTGGCTGATTCTCTTACAATGCAAAGGTTATCAAAGACATTCCTAAATTCATTAAAGACCGCACTATAACTAGAATTCACATTGGATGAGTTGTACATATGTTCACTAAACTCTTCGTCAACAATGAAATTGTTGACTAGTTCTTTGGCTGTTAGCCATTTAGCTCNTGACGTGCATAGGCGAGGGCTCCTCTGCAAGCAGCTGTTTGCTTGGGTGGCCACTTCTGTGGCTCCCGATCAGGAACTGCTTGCAGAGCATTATATTGTGCTCCTTTACAGGGAGCATTTGCGCCTCGCCATGTAGGTGGTGTTCAGGCGACATCAGGAGGCATCCTGTCGCTGTCCTGAGTGCGGTGTTCTGTAAAGTCTGTAGCTTCGTCCACTGCGTCCTACTAGTCCCTGGCGACCACACTGGCGCTGCGTAGTTCAACTATGTCCTCATATCGCCTGGTTATTCCTCCAATTTTATTATTTTATAATTATTCGTCAAATTATAATTTTTAGTTGTGATTGAAAAAATTTCTGTTTCGTTTTGTGCAACAATCATGCATGTTACCTTTTTATTTCACAGTTACTTTGTTCATACGATAGTACCGTACCAACGGTACGCTTAAACATTTTCATTTAATTTTAATATAAATTTTCTTTGTGCCAACGACTATTACATTACTTATGTAATTATTATTTTGTAGTATTATCTTCCTTTAAAACTTTGGATGTTATATTTAATGAACCGACTTCATTTTTGTGTATATATTAGTCAGATATTTGCTTTAACAAAACTCGACAGGACAGCATGACCGTGTACGTCGAGGAGCCATTTTGAACTGTATATATGGCTAGTTACGTTTCATTCTTACCTCGTCCATTGTGTTCATTTCATTTTTATGTGTTCGTAGCAAAAGCGACCACCTGGCAACCTGTTAGGGTGGCATTTTGCTAATTTTGCTGAAATTTATGCATTTATACGCCAAAATCTTTTGATAAAGGGAAAAACTTCGGTTAAACAGATTTCCATACAAAGTTTGCCAGTTTATTTATCAATGTGATACACTTATTCTTTTATTAAGTTTATCAGCAGTTTATCATTTTTGATGAACACCCCTTTTGTTTGTAAATTTTTAGACTAAAGCGCCACGGAGACGATCAAATATCTTTATGAACGCCTTAGGTCGGTGTTATGCAGACAAACTTTTGTTTGCCAAATTAAATGGCGGCTGCTTAGTTTGCTCGGAGGTGGTTATGTCGAGTTTGGCACAGGGTTGCACGTTCTTTATGGTTTTCATAGCTATTGCCAACACGAAATGAGAATTTCAGATGTACATAACGCGCAAAATTTAAAATTTTTGTATATGACAACACCGAATTTGCTGCAGTTTGACCAAACAAAATTAGTTTGCTGTGAGAGTCGCCAAACTCGCTCTCTCCGAGTTTGCTGCAACAACAATTGCACGCAGTTTGCCAAACAAAATTTCTGCATAACACCGACCTTAAGTGTATTGGTGTCGTCGGCCTTTGTCAGCTATGCTTGATGAAAATCAAAAAAATGTTGATATTTGAATTTGGTGACTATTTATTTGACCGTCTCGCATTATGCTTGACAAAAACGTCGTGGTGAGCAAGTGCGAGGACAAAAAAAAAGAAATTGTTTTACGTTTGATTGGTCATTATCAATGCTTACTATCTTTATGAAATGTAATAAATATTAATTTAAACATAACATGTAAAATTATGTCATAAATGATATAATGGCTGCGTTTCTTTATACATTCCGGATAATCCCAGTTCACAGCCGGAATAAACAGAATGCGTTTGAAATATACGTTAACATATCATCAGGAACGTTCTAAAGAATAAGTAAACGAAAAAGTTTATTCCAAACGTTCAGAATGAATAAAGAAATACAGCCAATAATTAACTGCAAATACTCATTCGATAACAACGTGCGAAAAAAAGAACGCTGCGTTCTCAGAATACAAATTGGTGATCGACGCGTTTATTTGAACGTTTGCG